TGTAATACAAATAGTAAATTCAGTGACCAAATCGTATAAATTTCGTGATAAAATCAGTGATCAAATCATGTAAATTCCATATGAATTCCGTGCAAATTCCGTATCCAAACCATATTTTTAGTGATACGGAATTGTGCATTTTTCCGTATCCTATTATGATACGTTATTTCTAAGGAAAAAAATCGTATAAAAACTTTATAAAAAACGTATCCAATTTTTTTATAGGGTATGAGTATAAAGAAACCCAAAGGTCAGATAAAGAAATCAAATATATGGACGTCGATAAAGACGGGTATGCAATTATAAGTCATAACATTAATCACGTTATCACGAAAGTAAAGGAAAAGGCGTAATGTTGATAATGAAGTTAGGCCTTGAAAAACATGTGTCAATCAAAAATAACAAAAAATTGCGCGCCATTTTAATATATAACGTGGTAGGGAACAATAATAAGATTATGGAAGAGAAAAAAGAATTAACGCTAAAGCAATTAAAGCAATCAAGGAAGCGAAAATAAAAAAATGGAAATCATATGTTTTGGATACTTTAAGCAATACTCACAATATAAAAAGAAAAATGAAAAAGGAATTTTTATTAAAAAAAGATTTGATGTTCTTTCAAAAACTAGAAGATCTAAACTTGTGGGACGTACATAAAGAAGAACATGATATGGATCAAACTCGAGAAATATGTACATTTACAGGCGTTTCATCAATGACACGAATAGATTATATATGGGTATCTGAAAATATTTTTTTAGAATTAATTAACGCCAAGATCAAAAACTTCGATAGAAGGTTCGATCATAAGTTATTGACGTTAAATTTTAATAATAGGTTTGATATACAAAGAAATACAATTGTTGAATTATAAAAACAAGAGAATAGTTTTTAATTATCAAAAATCTGAGGATTTAGATAAAGAATTCTTTGAAAAAGAATTAATAGAAAATGCCCTAGAGTGGCGTGATGAATGGTCGATCGAAGAAAAATGGTTGTTTTATAAAAAGAAACTAGATGAGAAGAAAAACAAATATATTAAGAAAGAAAAAAATAACAATTAAAAAAACCAAACAAGTAATTTTCGTCATCAAAGGTTATATAAAGATTTAAAATATATTGTCTTTTTATATTTCAAATTTTTGTTAGTGTACTGTTTGCTACAAATACAAAAGTCTACGCCTGCCCAATCTTTACTTTTAAAATTCTTTTTACGAAAATGAAATTTTATATTGATGAATTAACTAATTTAAGCGATTATCATCATTACATTGAATTCGTTATGCCATAACTTAAGAAGGAATTGTTTTTTTTAATTAAATTAATCGGGTTAGATATTTGTTAGAATTTTACCTCATGATATTAAGCAATATATTTTGTAAGTGCTGTCGATATGATTAAAAACTATATATGGCATATGCCGTACTGCCGTAATGTCATACTGAATGTCGTAATAGTAAAAAAACCATCTTATGTCACAATTATTTAATACGCATACGCTGTAATTGCTATCATAATTCATGAATTTTCTATAGTAAGTTTCGCATTATCTTCTAACATACTACTTCATTCAGAAATAATGAATATAGCACGATGCGCAATAAATTAGATTACCAGCTGATGATGGTTGTGGTGATGAAGTAGTGGAGTTCATCAACGTGATCAATTTCCAATAAAACCGCCAGTATCGACTGAAATAGTATTACTTTAATATTAATTGTTAACGTTAACTATAATCGTATGTTTTACACTACGAAAACTTTGTTTTTTTAGACGGTAAGATATCTTTCTAATGCAAAATAATCATTTGAATCTGTTTAATTGATTAATCAATATTGTTTTATATAGACGAAACGGATGATGAAAGCATTGGTTCGATTCCTTAGTGTCATGATGTGTTGATGATCAGAGTAAAGTATCTTGAGATGGTGACGACTAAGTATAGTGTCTTGACAAAGATGCAAGTCATCTTGGAAATAGCGATGTCGAAGATTTAGCATCTTTATATGATGATGACGATTGGTGACAGAAATTCTGAATCCATTCACAAACCGAGTCTATGGATATTTATTTGTGTCGTTGTATTAGATGGTCAGTTAATTTTAATGCATACATGTGAGGCTTGAAGAACTTGTTTATTTATTATTTTTGAATTTCTTTATATATATATATTTTTAGATCATCACCATCCGTATCATCTTTTTTCTTTAATGAAACGGTATTCAATAATGCTGATGAACATCATTCTTAGTAATGAAGAAATTATTGTATTGGTACAAAAACATAGTTTTAAGTATCTAACTCATTTAATATAGATTAATAATAATCTTTATTAAATCTGTAGTTGAGACTCTTTCAACATATATACGGAATGTAATAAGCTATGATGTTTCTTATTAATAATTAAAAAGATTTGTTTTATTAAGTAGATGTCATTAGTATGAGATAGTAAAAGATGTATTTACGATGCTTCATCAAGACGCATAATTGATGACTAAAAGCGAGTAAACCCTACAAGATAACACATCCCCGTTTAACAATCTTAAACATTGAGACTTTTTTATCGCTCCATGAATTTCCACATATTGGGGAAAAATATATATTTTTTATTTATAGATTTCGGCAATCCGATACCGAGAAAAAATTCCAATTTTTTTCTCCATTGCATGTATCGGTATCTTAGATTTTTTTTTCTCTCAATTTACAAGTTTCTGTATTTAAAAATGAGAAATAATTTATAATGTTTTCACAATACGTAATTAATTAATGGGAGAATGCGAATGTGATTGTGAGGAGTCGATGCCAGCGTTTTGAGGATTTGCAAATATAAGTATAAAACAAATAAAATCGTACTTCAAAATATGCATTACATTAACCGTTAATGAAGTAACAAATACAATGTATTGAAAGAAAAAAACTTAACATTTTTTTGATTAATTCACAATTTGTCATGATGTTACTGTAAGTTACTATTTAATATTAATATAATTTTCTAATAAAATTTTTTCATTTATTTGATACAAAAACATCATTTAGCATGATAGCGGCCACATATAATGATTGTGGAAATAGTAAATTAGACACAAAATTCTCTCTTTTTATAAAATCGTTAATGATATGATATACTAACACATTTTCTTTCAGTGTTATTAATATTATGGTCGTATAGCTCATGATAGATGATGGCTGTGAAGTTATAAAATTCAATGGCAATAATTTACTTGTATGATGAGGAGTAGGGATGCCAAAAGTTCGGTTATAACCGATCATAACCGGTTTTTACCGGTTCGGTTATCGGTTCGGTTTCAGTCCAAGACCGACCGGTTAACCGTCAGTTTTATATATAAAAAAAAACCGATCAAAAAACCGATCGGTTAATTGTAAATTTTAATATATTCCGGAAAAAAAAAATGATTTTGTTTATTGAGAATACCATTAAAAACTATTGTTTTAGTGTTTTTATGTATAATATTCTCATTTTTGAAATTATCGAATTTACGCGTTGATCACGTGATTTTTCGTTTCTCTGAAAAAATCACAACATCGGCGTTATTGTTGTAAATAATTACATAAATTCAAAGAATATTATTCAAAAAGTTATAATTGATACTTTATGGCATTATTTTATTCGATTTTGCGGTATTTTTGTAATCGGTTTTGTAGTTCAGTTTTATCGGTCGGTTTTGCGGTCGGTTCGGTTTTGGTTGAAAACTGCAGTTTTAAAACCGAAACCGAACCGAACCGACCGTTGGCATCCCTAGATATGTTCGCACAAAAAGTTTTTAGAAAAATTCCGGAAATCTTCTGAAAAATACTGAAATCTGCAGTAAAATGTCCAAAATCATTCAAGATTTAAAAGATTTTACCGGATTTTTCAAAAACCTTTCGGAAAATCCGGCAAAATTTGAATAGATTTTGTGCGCTGGTTTGTATGATAATTTAATATTGTTTGATTTCCCATTACTATGTATGTAATGAGTCATATCGGCCCATACGATATATGTAATGCTCCTAAAATAAATAATTTATGATTTAAGTCAGATTTGTAATTTTATCTAAAAATATTGATCCTATACAATTTACCTATATTATAACCCGTTGTGCATTTCATATCGAAAAAATGAATATATTTATTAGAATAGTATGGATAAACTATTATGCTATTTAAATCGTAAAATTTTGTTTCACAGATGATCATATGAACTTAAACAGTAAATGCACAATTTTAGTCGTCCAATTTATCCAACTTTATTTGTGTAGATTAGGGGATATTTTAATAAAAACAGCTTAATTAAATCTAAAAATGATTGAATAAGCCAGTAATCGAACCATGACCTATAAATAGATTGATTAACACAGATACTTTGTTATTATTACTCCATAGTAATTGTTTTACATAATCATTTTAATTTAGCAAAATATGGATACTAATAATAACGTTTATTTGGCCATTTTTGCGGAATGGCTACCCAATTACCAATCACATTTACTTACATGAATTTTTGACAAAGAAATTTTTTACAGTATTTCACATCAAAGAAAATAATTTTTTATCAGTTGAAAAATTTTTACTTTCACACGGGCTTTAAAAAAAGAACATTTTTATCTTCGGATTTGAAACAGCAGCTGCTAGAGAGTTCTAGCATATTTTGTAAAATAATAATGTTTGGATGACAGCATATATTGGTTATTATATTCGTTTTATCACAGATAAATTAAATACAAATTAGATTTTTTTTTATATTGTTCAAAATATATGATATATTTTGATATTTTATTTAAAATTAAAAATTATATTTCCTTTTACAAATTTATTTCCATTTTATATCTGCAATTTTATTTTTTTTTAAAAAAAAAAAATCTGTCAAATTTCACAACAAAAACCTCCTTTGTCATTCAATTAAACTTAAAAAAAAATACTTTTGTATAGAAATGACATATTTGACACAAATTATCATCTGGCATGTGCATAAAAAGCATAATGCATGTATAATACTTTATACTGTATAATACCTGTCTCTTATACACATCTAGATGTGTATAAGAGACAGGTATAATACTTTATACTGTATAATACATACATACATATAGTATCAGAACTGGAAAGAAATTATTTCATAAAATCAAAAATAAGCTTTCTCATCCCCATCTATTATTTTATTTAGCTACTATAATAATTTTTTAAAAGAAATATTTCATATGTAATATTAGTGTTTGTGTAAATAAAGTTGACCATTCCATTGTAAAATTTTGAAAAAATTTTTTATAAGAATTTATAAATAATCATGCGCAAAAAAAAGGGGTTTTACAAAATAATTTATCTATCAAAATATCTTTTTTCTCATTTTTTTTTTTTTATTCTTCTGCAATGATCCCAATTTTAGTCGAACAACAAAAAAACTTTTATGAGCTGATGATTTGAGACATTTATTATGGGAATGAAGGAATGAAAGAAATCAGTCAAAAAATATTAGCAAAATTTATATGTTACATTACGTGATAGCACATTCATTTTTATCAAAGGGATGCATTTTTATATTGTATTTATACATGAATAGCATCGTACTTTTATAGATATATTTAGAGGAAAAAGGACAAGGAACATTTTTTATTGATCCGAAATTATAATTAAAATAAAAATTTATATATACGACGGAACATGATCTCGCAGACGAATCACATGATCACATGATGACATGATGCCAGACATCTTGGGATGGCAATAATTTTTTTTTCTTTTCGTAAACAAATAAAATATGTAACCTGATATTGTTACTGCGGTTATTTCATTTAAAGCGTTTATAATGTAATATCTATATTGATATTAAAGCATTCAAAATTATTTAAAAACAGTATTTTATTTTAATAAATAAGAATAAGAATATAGTAATTCAAGAAAAATAATAATAATCCTGTAAAAAATAATATCACTAATTTCTGTAAACTTCCGTGCATTTACAGAAATAACATGGAATAATAAAACATGGAATAAATTTTTATAGGATAATAAAAGTATTTAAATTTGAATAATATAATAATTTTCTTCCTTCAAATATCAACATATAATTTTCAACTTTATTAGATGTTATTATTAATATTTATCTGAGAGGAATTTATAATAATCACACCAACATTAGACTGGGGCGGATTTGGATTATTGAACTTTGGGGTCGAACCGTTGCCAGGCATAGATTGTTGCTGATAAACATTAGACTGAGGATTATCATATTGCAAGTTGAATTGCGGAGTCGAAATGTTACCAGGCATGGACTGTCGCTGATAATTTTGAGTGTTAGCGTTATCGTTCGAAGCGTCGTTAAAAATTGGCTGCTGATTGTTATTATTATTAGGTAAACTATTGCTTGAAGTGTTGATATGTTGATGATAGTTATTGTGGTCAGAAGGAATGCTTGTGCCCGAAAACATATTGTTATTGTCGTTCATTCCAGAAAATCCAGAATTGCAGCTGCAAGAATAATCACAGTTAATATTCGCAGTTGTAGTTGTCGCTTGTGGAAGATTATTGTAATTATTATTAGTGAATCCAGTAGTATCGTAAACAGCATCGCTATTATTATCTTGCGAATTCATTATGAGCTGGATTTTGTATCTTTTGCTGATAAAAGAATTTTTTTTACCAATTTCTCGAACAGCTTGTAAAAAGTTGTTAGATTCTTAATTGCATGTATTTATAATAAATATTCGCATATTCGCACAATGAATTAAAGCCCCTATAAAAAAGTTTGTGCTAAATTTGTGCCAAACGGGCTAATCATACAACATTTATTCGAAATTTGTACTAAAAAATAATATAAAATTCGAACAAATTCTAAATAAATATCGTATGATTAACCCATTTGGCACAAATTTAGCATAAACTTTTTTTTTATAGGGAAGGACAAAAAGGAAACTTTGAAAGAAAAAAGCATATACTCAACGTGGATATTGTTTAATAAATTTAACTTTGTTCGTCCGAAAGTAGACATGAATAAAAGTTAATAACAATATTTGCTAGTAAGCGGCATTGTTATATATTGAAAAAATCTTAGGTTACACATTTTTATAACGATAAATGACGAGATCAAAAATATTTTTACCCGGAACGTTATAATAATAGAATATTGTTAGCTGAATATAGAAAGTAAATTTACCCAACATTTTTGTTTGTATTCACTTTTATGCATACTACTGAAAAAATTAAAAATTTACTCAAGCTTTTATATACCAGATTAGTAATTAATTTGGGAATAAAAATCCAAGTTAAAGTACTATCACCAGAAGGCGTTTGATAATTTACTGTATAATGAATACACCCATTTTATTATTAGAATGATTTGTCGTATATAAAATTTAAATTGTGAATTAAAATTATCATTTAAATGATTTAAATGATTTATCATATATCATGGTGATAGCGTGATAATTTATCTCAATTTATTATGCAGTCGACCCCAACTTAAATGTGCTTAAAGGGGATGTGAGCGATGTGACTATATCTGGGGTGACTATAGAGGGGTAAACTGTATATCAATTTAAAAATTACAGAACTTACCTACTTCACACTATTTTTTATTTACCTCATTTTATCATTTACCCCTCTCCACATACCCCTCTCCACATTATTTTATAGTGCGGATATCTATCATCTGCGGATTCGAATATCTATCATTATTACAATCCGAGTCGGATATCTGCGAATCGTCCGTCGGAGATCAAAATATTTGCGGATACGGATTGCGCTATTTGGCCCAGCAAAAATTTATGTCAGTTTTATTTTTTTTTGGTGTTCCATTATACACCTGCTTGCTATACGTTGAAAATCAATCCAAAATCTCACGTTCACCCAGTTTTTACTGCTAAAAGATTTTCAAAAGCGAAATTTTATGATGAATTAAAACCTATTTAATTTATTATTGTTGTTACTATTTTTACTATTTAACGTTTGATAATTAGAGTTCTTTAATTCGTAACTTAAGAAAAAAATTGTTTCTTAATCCAATTAATGCGGATTAGGTGTTTATTAGAAAATTCACCTCCTGATACAGACATACAGTCATTAATAAAATGATATATCACTTGATATACAGTATAAATAGGCCCCGATATTATCTTTTTTTAATAATTTTTATTAATCTATAAATAGGTAGTGCCTATTCCCTCCGCCGTTTATAGTAAGTTAAGTGTAATACAATTATAAAAAAATAATTATAAATAAATAATAAACTAAAATGAATAAATAAACATTTTATTATGGTAGATTGTTTATATTTTATCTCTATCGTAATTAAATAATTGATGGCAATGATTTGCCTGCTATTAAACCAAAAAAGATTATTTTTTTTTAATGAATAAAATAATGGAAATCTAATGAAAGGAAATCAGCCTTATGAAGTAACAATCAATTTATTAGCCATTCACATAATAAAAAAAACTAAACAAAATTTACTTTGTTATAAAAAAATTACCTTATATGTATAACAAATATTATTAGCCGTTGTCGATCACGGTCACACTGTATAGAGTAAACTTAAAGCGCTGTATCTTCTTTAAATTATCAATGAACTTTTGTATTCACATACACAATCATTATCCTGCAGAGAAACAAATTATTATTATAAATCATATCCCAATAATTGTGATATATAAATAAATAAACCAAATCATATTTACTGCCCCATATGATAATATTATTCTAAAAAATATCTGCACGTCCCTGTACACAAAGTTGATCCATGTTTATATTCCATTTTTTTTCCGTAAATATTTTTATAAATTTAAATTAGGTAAAATTTTTCACAAGGTACTATAACTTATCTATCATAAATGAATAAAGTTTGAACACAACGCTACAAACTAAATTTATATCAAATGTTTGTGGCGCAGTAAATAAAATTTAATTAACCTGAAAAAAATGTCACGAAAAATTACGTGAGATTTTTCATCACCGGCGTCACGCCCTTCCTTGTTTCCATTTTTAATAAGTATCTGGGAGACAGAGAAATTTTTTTAGTAATAAAATCCTACTCGTCACGCACTATCCGTCACATGTGCGCCACACTTAATTTCAGTTAAGTTGCGTAATGGCGGCCATTTCGTGACATTTTTTTCAGGTTACGCTGGGATAGTCATAAAATTTGTGCGTGAAAATGACATAATGCGCCATACTGCAGCACGTTTTAATTTCCAACACTTATTGTATAATATATGTGATGCCGACGAGGATATATACTATATATGTATACTATACATATTTATTGGGGTGCACGGTCAACTATCTAAAAGATCTCTTCTTCTTTCTCAAATATTTTGACACTTGTTAGTTTCTCCAAACCATATTCACAAAGTTATGAAGCTAAGTTATTTTTCAATTTGAACTTTAAATAGTTTGCCTATCTTGATGTCTGATTTTGTTTTTATTAATGCAAGAAATGGCCTCGTAACTTTGTTAATAAATCGTATCAATCTTTATATGCTTTTTTTCTCAAAATGCGGAATCGTTAAAGCTGCACATCTAATTGAACATGATATATAAATATATATAATGGGTAGTCAAAATCATGTCATATTAATGCTTTGCTAAATTAAAATCATTTGCATTATCATTATTATATTATCTGTTATAGAAATTAATTGATATTATCGCAACTTATATTTATTTATATATTTGCATTATATATTAAAATTTTAACTTCCTTGAAAAATAATTTTGATATTATAGATAAATTAAACGAAAAATTTTCTCAATTAATTATAATTAATGGTAACGTATAAATAAAATTTGCTACCTAGTATACTACAATAAACTGCATTTGCATAAAATCGTGACGATCAAGGGTGTTTATTAACCTAAAAAAAACATTTTTAAATTTATAAAAAATTTTAATTTTTGTAGATCGATGTATCGTGAGAAAATTACCGGCGTACAATTTAAATTTGTCTAAATTATTTTTTTGGCGTATGCAGGTCATGCATTATAATTTCAGATACATATCAAATCACGCTTACAGATGTTTTATATAATATATTTGGCGTATTTAAATGTTTTTTTATATTTGTTAAATAATTAATAACCCAGTAGCCATTATCATAGCTACATTAATTTTATTTGATGGAATATCAACAAATACTCATATTTATTACAATATTACGATACACATCAAAGAATACGATCCTGCTCGAGGTTTGAAAAATCTTATTTTTCACATGGAACAGCGTTCTTTTCCAATATTTGCTTATTTTGTAATAACGATTCTTTACTTGACAAATAATATTATTTTAGAAATAATGGATGATTATTCACATATATTGTCTATTTTAAACAATATTAAGAAATTTATACTGTAATGACTAATGATATATGATCGACGCATTTTTTTTTTTTAAAAAAAAGCGTTTTTAAGTCAAATAAAAAGCTTCCTTTGTCTCTAAGTAAACTTGAAGAACTGGTAATAATACATCTTCATACATAATTTTACTTTATAGATCTATTTTTAAATGAGAAACTTCGTAAAAAAATTTCTGTGGCAACAATAAGTCATATGCTTTGTCCTACCTTCTCACGTGTATTGTAAAATTTTTTTTCCACTTTTTTTTTATTTTACAAAATCACAAATAATTTGTCTACAAAAAGTAAAATGTTTGAACATATCAACACAACAGTAAACATATCCTTTTTCTCTCCTTTCAATAAAGAAATTTATGGGCTGATGATTGATATCACTGATTGTGCAAGCGATATGCAGTATAATCATTATGGAGGCTTTGTTATTTGTTATAGAAAATAATTCAGAATATATTAAGTATTATGAGAATGCTCAAACAATTGTAATTAACTTATATTATAAAGACAAAGGTTTATTATCACAATATACGGAAACACAAATTTGGAAATGCGTAGATTCGGAAAAACATTTATGTTCCGATTGTAAAATTATTTTATTTACTTTGGATACATTGTTTGATAATCTTAAGGTGTCATTTATGGGAATGAAGAAAATAGATAAATACGTATGGAATAAATAAAAAAAGTTACACAAAATTTATATGTCACATTATGTGAAAAAGAAAAAATCGCAGTAAGCATTTTTTATCACGTGATCAGTTATCATCTTTTTTCTGCGGTTATTTCATATAAGAATTTATAATGTAATTGTCTAAATTTATATTAGAACATTCAAAAATTACTTTATTTTGTTTTAATAATATACAGCAATTGTATAAATTTACAATCATAGAAAAAAAAGGGATAAAGTAATTGAAGAACATACAGTTCTCAGACTTATTATCTTGTCGAATAATAATAAATATTTGTTTGAGGAGAATTTATAATAATCGTGCCAAGTGAATTAGGCAAAGGAAAGACGGACTGAGACAGACTTGGATTAGTATATTGTAGATTGGCCTGTAGAGCCGAAACGTTATTAGACATGGATTGTTGCTGATGGTTTTGAATACTGACGTAATTGTTCGAAGTATCGTTAAAAATTGACTGCTGATTATCAGTAAGATTAATAGCACCATTGTTTGAAGTGTTAATAAACATAGTTTGATGATCATAGTTATTCTGATTAGAGGGAATGCTTGTATCTGTAGGAATTATGCTGTTATTAATGTGCATCCCAGAAATGCAATTATTGCAGCTGCAAGAGGGTTCACGATTAATGTTCAATTGCTCGAATAGCAGTTGTATCTGTTACTTGTTGCATATTATTGCGATTATTACTGTTACTGCCTTGTAAAGAGTTCATAAGGATGAAATTTATACTGTTACGAGATTAAATACTTTACGAAATAATATATTTATAATAAAAACTAAATTCGCAAAATGGATTCAAAAAAGAAATTTGAAAGTAAAAGTGTATATAATCAAATATCATCTAAAATTGCATATTGTGTAATCGAAGGTAGAATGAATGAAAGTTAATTACTTACAATATGATAAAGGCATTAACATATCTTGGATAAGGGTGAGAAAAATTAGGTCACACACTTTTATAAAGATAAATGACGTGACCAAAAGGGTTACGGTACATTTCGCCGAAAAGACGTTTCTCCGAAAAATAGGGCCAACATTATGCAGAATTATAAATAACTCAGGCCAGAGATTTTTTTCGGCGAAATGGCTTTCAGCAAAATGTCCCGATACCAACCAAAAGTGTTATCGTTCAGCCAAATAAGAAAGATCATGCAGGTTTTCATAGATCAATATTTTATTAAGCATAACAATAACACGGTTACGGTACATTAATATAACACAAGATTATGCATAATTGATATAATAAAGTAGAGTAAAAAAGTACGATGTAATGAAAATTTTATAGGAAAAGTTTGAATGAAAATTATTAGGTAGATTAAATTTTAATTTATAGGCTAAATAAAGATTATCTATGATGTAATAATGCATGATCAAAAAGCGCCAGAACGATAACATTTTTATCGGGTTGGTGATACTCCCCATTAAATATTATATATTTACCAATAAAAAATACTTATTAGCTAAGTAAATAGATAGAAAGTAAGTAGCGTAGATTGGCCAAGTAACGTAAATTACATATCACGTGAGATTTTCCAACAAAAAATTTCGTTGGACTAGAGTTCGTATCCGTTATCCGGATATCAACGGATATCCGGATACCCGGATAGAACGGATACTATTATCCGTTAGCTGTAATTCGGGCCAATTTTATAGAATAATGTTAAATTTTATTCAATATCTTAAGGAAAATTTATCTGAATATCCTAAATTATCCAGATATCCAAATATTTTTGCGGGGATAATTCAGGCCAACAGAATTATGACTTGGTAAGACGATCATTTCCTTTTTTGGCGATAGCATTCCACAAAAATAAAAAACCTATCCGGATTAAATGCAAAATCGGATATCCTAATACTATCCTAATGCTATTCACCGATAAATAAATAACGAATCCCCTCCAAAATTGTCAGTAAAGAGTTTATACGCACACCGGAAACCCATGAGCCACTACTTTATCTTCGGCTATTTTATTATAACAAGTTCTTTCATGCTAAAAGTTAGGAATAGTTATTCCAAATACCTGTCTATACGCCATAGACTATACTACCTACTCTTCTTCCAAATTATATTATGACCCAGGCTACATATGTTTCCCGTGACAAGGCGAAAATCATGTGATCTATCTCCGTTAACGGTTCATCAGTCAGATGATCCGTTCAAATAGTCTTAATAGTCTTACTTTTAGTAATAAAATAAAATAAATTAAATAAAATAAATAGATGATCCGTTCAATAATTTTGATTTAAATTGTTTTCCCTTCTCTAAATGGACATTCCAAGATTCGTATCTTATATATAAAATATCTATTAAACCAACCTAAACAATCTGTCTTATTTTCTAATCTGAGCTAATGAATTATCAGACTACTTATACATCAATATATACGTTGCATAGGATGGATACTATTTCTTGATAGAAAAATGAAACCTTTTTTGGATTTTCTTTTGAAATTCCTGAATTTTCATCCACATGACTTTGACCGGCATTATTGAATTCGGCCGGAAATTATGAAATTAATCATGTGACAAATTTTATTTGTAATTTTGACTGGTAATGTGAATTTGGCCAGAATTACCTCTTGACGGATTAATGAGTCAGACTTAGTGTTTCAAACCAGATTTATTTTAATCTCAGGTTTCCTTGGATTATTCATGGAAAATTTATATAATATGCTTACAGTACTAATACTTTTTATTAGTAAAGAAATTGAGAATAAGAATATACGTCTGATAACCCACATATTTACTTGCATGTTTTCTATTTTGATAACAAGCAATTAGTTTGGAGATATAAATCTGCTTAATAATTTCCATTATTTGAGGTTATAAATTCCATAAACACGTTGAAATATTAAACACGGGTTTATTTAAATTTTTATGAATTTTGTTAGACTGAAATGGTTTTTGATTATCACAGTATGTTGCGAAGTAAAATTGTGTAGGGGAAGGGAAGCCTTATTATTTGATACAGATTGTTGATAATTATGATGAAGCGATATCATTATTGTTTGAAACAACATAGGTATAGCTAGGTTGCTGATATAGTTAGTATAGCGAGGAATATTGTTCGAAGTGTAGTGATTAGATTGCCGGTTGTTATATATTGTTATATATGAGTAGTGTATGTACAGTATATCATTTATGAGTAAAAAGTTGTTCGCGGAGTTAAACTATTGAATTGTTAAACCTTATCAATTAATTCACCAGTATATTATTACTTTATTCGATAAAAATATGAAATACAGAATAATTTTAATGATGATTCTACTAACAGTTATGACGGTAGAGATCTTCAAATAAAAACGATACTTTATATTTTATAAAAATCTACTTGAATATTTCCGTTACATACATTTTCCTTCGCTAGTATTTTATCCATTATTTATTTTATTTCTTTATTTCTTACATGATGGTAGTCAATTAAAACCGTTCATTTTTAAAATTATATACGGTAATTATTATTCTTGAATTTTTAAAAATTACTAAATTAAAAAGAGAAAAAAAAAAGAAAAAAAAAATATGGCAAATGTGCCCGAAAATAACACAATATCGTGGCGCAGTATTGGTTATGTGTGCATGAAATGACATAATGCCGCCACACTGCATGAAATGAATGGATAATTTACGCTTTATAGAAAAATGATGACACAGACCCCTCTCTAACTGAATAAAAAATAAAATAAACTTTTGTAGTAATGATTTGAATAGAAAATATCCACAAAAAAGATTTCATTCACACCAAAATCGCAATCATTTGTTTTAAATGTATTTGAACAAAGAAACAGATTTTCTCTGATTGACACTAAATATAGTATCTTTGAAATAGGAAAAAAAAGGTGAAATCTCCGGATTTATTAGTAATAAAAAGAAGGTGAAAGTTTCAAATTGGATTACATGGACTAAAATTGTTCATAATTTGGGCGAAATTTTGTTAATTTTAGTGATGACGACTTAAAATGCGAGACTTGCATTTGAAACATGTACGAGCACGTGATTTCGTTGTCCTACTATACTACTTACTACACAACTGAATTTTTATTTTATACCTTCATATACATTTATTGTTCTTTATTAATCGCGTTATTTAGATTCTTGGGGTCATATACTGTATTTTGTAATAATAATATAAATAACAAAATTGTGCACTCACATTCAAAAATATCAGATATAAATAAGTAAATAAAAGCATTTATTGTACAAATATGGATCAATTATTGAATTACAATAGAATACGTATATGTATATAATATGAACGAATTACACCTTTCTATTACTAACGGACGATACTTTTTGTGTAATATTTTTAGAAAGAACATTCAAAGTAGTAGTACATATTATGCAAAAATGATCCTTCTTTCAAAATTTAACTCTAAAATGGAATAAATTTGTTACACACTTAGACGTTCGTAAAATGTATTTGTAACAAAACCTTTATTCTGAGTAAATGAAAAAAAGCTTATAAAAATGCCATCGCTTTCATAAATTTTTTTAAAAAAAAGGGGAAAAAACAAAAAACATTATATACTATACAGTATATTCAGAAAAAAAAAAATATTATCCTTTTGTTACCAGAGATAATTTTTTGTTACCGGCGGAGATAATTTTTAAAATTTCTATCAAAAATGCATAATTGAGCTGCCAATATTGAAACCTCGGCGAATATATGCCAAGTCGAAAAAGAGTTTGAAAGATATCGAATATTATATTTAAAAATGGTTCTTTCCATTCTCTCAAAAAAAAAAATATTTCGCACGTTCATCTTCTGTTATAAGTTTAATACAATCATGATTGTCATAATAACCGATATTTTTAGTTATTTTGCTCCGTTCGATTGCAATCTTGTTCTGATAAAAATATGTATTTCACTCACCCATTTTTTTTCAGAGGAGCTTTAAACTTGAAAGAATGAAAATTTTATTGTCATCGTGAACAAAATTATTGTTATGCATTATTTTATAAAAGAAAAGTACGCTTGAGAAAGATATACAGTAATTATCTCAAAAAAATTTTAATATATTCTTGTTTTTATGGTAAGGATTTTGAATATTTGCGAGCCCACGAAATTTAAAATTTAAATTTGTATACGTTATTAATCTTATAACGAGTTGGGAATAATCATGACATTTTGATTCAGTAATAATAAATTTTTTTCATCGAAAATAGCGCACGTGATACAGCTGTATACATGCAAACATTATTTAAACAATCTTTTCTGTAAAAATTTTAAAACAAACCACGCTAAATGCAGGGAAAATGTGCGAAATAATATTGGTACATTCATAAGAATTTCATGACAAATAAAAATGCTGCAGACTTTTTGTATTACTCTAAAATGAAATGAATACGCCGTGTGAGAATTTTTTTTCTTATAAAAACCTCTGAAATTTCCCTACACCAGAAAAAATATTCACAATTCTAACATCAATTTAATAAATTATAAATTCATAAATACGTTACGTTACTCAAGATAAAGTTATGAATAATAATAATACTTCACAAAATAATTTTCGTAATCATATTTACGACAATACTAATCTATCGCAAATAGAGAATAAAACATTTACATCAGTCGCGCATAGCAATAACGTTACGATTTCTGATCAACAACTCATGCCCAATGTCACTTCAAACAACAACTATGCTAACTATGCTAACTCCGCTATTTCTCCCGATCATAATCATCGACAATATGACGCATCAAACAATATTCCTCGTCATAACTGTCAACCATCTATGACCAATAACTCATCGCTTCCGCAATTCTATCCACAGTATATTAATCAAAATCCACAAAATCCGCCTCAATCCAATACCATTCTTTCGCTTAATTCACTTAACATAACTATTAATTCGCCTCAAATTAACATTTTTATTATTCCAGCAACCAATCCAGATATTAATATTAGACTTGAATCATTCAATAACTAACTCGATCTCAACATTAACTTGAAATTCTTTCTTGTTTAAATATGTTATTTTTTGTTTAATTTTATTTATTCTTGAATCTGTTGTTGTATGTTATTTTTAACCGTATTAAATAAAGTAATTTATATTTTTTATAAGAATTTGTTCGAATAAGGGCGCCATTTTTCAACATAAAATATTTTTTAGGAAGCTATTTTTTTGTATCCTTTTTTCCTCCTCCATTAATATGCACATATTACACAAACAAAATGCCTTTCAAAATAAAAAGACAGGTAGGATATATACCAGTTAATGAAGGCATATTGAAACGCACTGTGAACTTCAATGATCATGATCAATTTTAAACGGATTTTCTTTCAATATCAATTATAACCGATTAAATGAAATAATTTGACAAGTGAACGAAGAATTCGTGTGATATGATGTTATGTATGTAACTATGTATCTTTCCTTCTGCAGGACTTTTTTTTAAGCACAAGTCTATTCTATTTTTGGCACGTGGGCCGAAACGACCGTAATTTTACCAGAGTCGTAAAGGCATAATACCGGCCGGAATTACAAATAGCACTGTTATGCAAAATTAGTAAAACGTTAACATTATTGGTAGATTTCAAGAATGGGAGATCATATGAATATAAATACGTTTAAATAATTTTTGACTTTTAATTAAAGTATCTAGGTAAATTTATAAATAAATGCTCGAGCAGTCCGAACTTTTTTAAATGAAACGAAAATATGTTAATTCGCCAAAAATCTCTTTACATTGAACGACTTTCTTATGCACACCTTTCTCATATGCAATATAGCAGTATATATAATGTAAAAAAAAAATTTTATTAATATTTAGGAAAAAAATAGCCTTTTAACTTATCTGGTTAAATGTATTTGCTTGTAATTTATGTATATATTATATATAGCTCTATTAATTATAATCAGTATTTTGAATAACATCTCTCTCACATCTCTTCGATTATAGTATACTGCAGCAATATTTGTACGACCCTGGATTTTACTTACAACCACGTTCCTAAATGAAGAAAATCATTTTTTTATTATAATAAACATTAGATTACTAAAAATAGTTTGGTAGTTTTTTGTGGCTTCTGAGAATATGCTTCTATGATTTTTTTTGGAATCAAACTAACTGAAAACCGAAATCATTGTTAGTATGAACATCAAATCAATTTACAATTTAAGTTACAAAAAAAAAACCTTTCAGGATTTCTTTTTTTATCCTTCTGATATATAAAACCCCATATAATATTGAAATTGGAGATTATACATTAATGAAAATCGAGAAATTATGAGGATATCACTTAATAACGAAAATTATATTTATGTGTATTAATACTAAAATTAATCAAAATCATCATTATTTTTTCAAAAAAACAAAAAATAAATAAATAAATTATAATTCATTTTATTCTAGCATTTGCAATAAATTTGAATTTATAATTTGCACATAAATCTGTTATTAAATGTGTTGTAATCTTATTGGACAATTTTAGATGATCGGAATACGCACTTTAATAGTGTAACACAAGTCCTATCATTGTATAAATACAATTGTAAAAAAGAAATAATGTTATTTTTGATTTGAAATTTTGAGTACAAAAATTAGAATTTAACTCTTTATTACAAAACTAAAGAATTTTTATTCACTTATAATTTCTATCACAAAAATGTGGGCTGTTGACGATTGATGATTTGATCCCATATAACTGGCGACGGCTGAAATGTCCGTTTACAGAAAATTTTTTTTTTATAAATGGAAACATGGCTGATTGATTGTTCCAAATTAATTAAATACGATTGTGTCCGATCTTCTACTGTATCATGTATAAAATATATAAAGAAAGGAAAGAAAGAAGAAGTAGAAAAGTAAATAATTTGCTTATCAAATTAAATAACTTTATGAAACCCGTATCAATACTTTTTAACAGATAACAAAGAACAAATTCAGGATGAATGCATTAAAAAAAAATTTAAAAGATTTTCAATTCGTTAACGACGCAAAAAAAAAAAAATAATCATATGGTTAAATAACGAATTTACGCCAAGTCGTATAATCTATCTCAGTTTTTTAATTGTGAACTTTATGTTGCATCATGTAGAAAGTATAATAATGAATTTTTTTTTGTCTCTCTCTTTGTTTTAACTCAATTTAACATTTCAAAGGAGAAAGGAGATAAAGGAGATAGTAATTTCAAATTTGAATGGACACTACCAGAACATAAATGATTATATATACATTACATACACACTATCTGTTATTATCTCGTTACAATATATAAATACCGTCATTTTTTTTGTATCATTTTTTTTTATTTTTATCTTCCTTTAATATATATATTATACAAACGAAAATGCCTTCTCAAAGTACCCTATAAAAAATAAGTGTCCGGAAATTGTCCAGAATTTGTCCGGAAAATTTGTCTAAATAATTGTCCAGAAAATGTCCAGAAAATGCCAGGTACCATGTCCGGAAATTGTTCCGAAAACACACTCGTTTCCGGACACTCATTTTGTCCAGAATTTGTCCGGAAATTGACCTGAAATATTTTTTCATAAAATTTGGCACAAAAGATGATCAACAGGTAACCATCATTATAATTGCTTTTAACCTAAAGTTTTTTATCATAGATATATAGTATTTTTGCCTGCTCAGCAAATTTAATTAGTATGACAAAGAAGGTTATGAATGTCAGTCTTGTGCTTTTTGCAATTTTTTACAAAATTAATTTATCCTTTTTTGGAAGTAGCGTCCAGAATTTGTCCAGAATTTTTTCATGTCCGGAATTTGTCCAGCTTTATCTGTCCGGAATTTGTCCAAAATTTTATAC